TAACCTTTCACACCTCTTTCTCTAATTTAAAATATTTGTGGTCCTTATGAGCGTTATAATGATGATGAGCATCGAATTTCTTTAATGTTGCAGTATCTCAAAGCAAGCAAATCATCTTATCTTTAGCAGAAAGAAGATAATACTGCAATTCCCAATCCTCATTAAAAAATCTGTTTTCTTCTTTCAGCATTCTCTTGATCTTCTTTGAAATGATGGGCTGTTAAGCAGACAGAATTAAAAAATACTGTCGAGCTGTACAACTATTTACAGATTCCACTTCGAACAGAAACACAGTGCACCGCTGTCAAGAGCTGATAACAGAGTGGCGTACTCAACCCCCATAAACTCTCACCAACCAGCCTCGTCCAGTAGTGGTGCCAGTCAGCCAGGGGAAGTTAGAACAAAATCATGGGCATAGCAGCTGTCAATTTAGCCCTTATGGCTTACTTATGTTCTAATTGTGCCAGTCAATCTGGGAGGATTATTTCATTGAAACTTATTTTATTCTTTGATATTTTAAACATGTCCATTTAAAAAAATAAAATAAAAATATAAAAGATGAACAAAAATGTATTAACACAAGTAAAAGGAGTTGTTCTGTAAAATTTGGATTCAGTCAAAAGACTGTACTTAAGGACCTAGACTGTCTCATGTGGCCTTAAGGCTGCAGGTTCCCCACCTCTGTTCTTGGCAGCGTCCTTTTTTCTTTACTCTCTCCCAGCGTGCCCTGTACTTCCCCATCTCAGCACAAATCAAGCTGGAGTGTAACTTCCCTTTCACTTGTCTATCTCCCAACCTAGACTGTGAGCAGCTTGAGGACAGGGCCATGTCCACCTGATTCGTTTTTGAATTACCAGCACAAAGCCTGGTGCCTGGCACTGAGTCGAGGCTTAATTAGTGTCTGCTGAATGGATGTCATCCTCCTGGTGTGACTGGAAAGCTGTGGTCCACACAGCAGGCTGGAGGACTAGTTCAGGACTCCAAATAGTCATGGTCGTAAGAAGTTATGCTGTGCCCTTCCAAGCCCCAAAGAGGACCCTGCTTAGGCATTTTGGGGTGTGAAGTTCCAAGGCCACTTCCTTCTGGAGAGACTGAGCAGTGGCCTTCACTTGGTGAAATGGGGTACAGTGGAGGGGGTCGCTCACCAGACCTGGAGGAGGGTATGGAAGGAAACCATTTTTCAGTGCCTGCCACCTCTACCATCCTGCCAATCGTCAAGGACAAGGACCTGACTGATTCACTTCTGTGTTCCCGACAGAACCCAGAACTCTCCCCAGCACATAGCATTCCTCCATAAAAGATCGCTGAAATGAATCGAAGCCCAACAGCCCAAGGTTACTGGCCAGCTGCCAGATGCAAAAAGCTTGGCAAATCTCACCAGCAGCTCAGTCCCAGGGCAGCACTGTTGGAGCTGGAGACACAGCCCTGGGGACACAGCTGAATGTCCTAAGTCCTACATCCAGAAGCTTCCGGAAGCTCCACTCACAGCTGACAGCATGAATAATTTAGGACAGGACTGGTGGTCAGATTTGGGAAGGGCATTGATGTCGGAGAGAAAGAAAACCTTTAGATGCTCTCTCATCAGTGCGGCTATGCCTTGAGGCTTCCTAGGTGACCCAGCAGCCTCCATGAGCCCTCCCAGCTGGCCCTGTCTACTGGGACCCTGCCCACAGATCCCGGCCCCTGTGGTGAGTCCATGTCACACCCAGGCTCCCCACACTCTTCCTTTGCTTTCAGCTTGTCTTCCCCCTCTGAGTCCATGTTCCTGTCTCACCAGGGAAGGGCCCTGGCTCTCATTCCTAAATTGCAAATGATTTAGCTTCATGCCTCGGTGCCTCTTACCTCACCCCAGGAAAGATATTTTTTATTTTGATTGTTAAAAAGGATTTATTTATTTTAATTAACAAAGTTAAAATGTATACATTTATCATGGATATTTTGAAGTATGTATACCTTGTGGAATGGCTAAATAGAGCTCATTAACATGCATTATCTCACATACCTTTTTGTGTGGTGAGAACATAAAATCTACTTTTGGAGATTTTCAAGAATGCAATACATTGTTATTAACTATAGTTACCATGTTGTGCAATAGATCTCTTGAATTTATTCGTCCTATCTAACTGAAATTTTGTATCTTTTGATCAACATCTTCCCACTCCCCTCTTCCCACCCCCTGCTCATGGTAACCACCATTCCACCCTCTGCTTCTGTGAATTCAACATTTTTAGAGTCCACATATAAGTGAGATTATATGGTATTTGTCTTTCTGTGGCTTATATCACTTAACATAATGTCTTCCAGGTTCATCCGTGTTGTCACAAGTGACAGGATTTCCTTCTCCTTTTTTTTTTTTTTTTTTTCTGTGGCTTATATCACTTAACATAATGTCTTCCAGGTTCATCCGTGTTGTCACAAGTGACAGGATTTCCTTCTCCTTTTTTTTTTTTTTTTTCCGAGACAGGGTCTCACTCTGTTGCCCAGTGTAGAGTGCAGTGGCCTGTGGTAACACACCGTACCCTCCACCTCTCTGCCTCAAGCAATCCTCTCGCCTCAGCCTGGCAAGTAGCTGGAACTACAGACATGGACTACCATGCCTGCCTAATTTTTTTTTTCTTTAGAGACTGGGTCTTGCTGTGTTGCCCAGGCTGGTCTCAAACTCCTGGCGTCAAGCAGTCCTCCTGCCTCGGCCTCCCAAAGTGCTGGAATTACCGTGGTGAGCCACCATACCTGGGTCATTTCCTTCTTTTTAAAGACTGAATAGTATTCAATTGTCCACAGAAACTTTAGAATCAGGTTGCAGAATTTTCCTGGGCTGAGGCTTCTGCAGATTTCTGTGGTCCCACAATAGGGACCTGCACTTCTGGCCCAGGTGCAGTTTAGGTTACAATTGTGAACTCCTGATCTTTCTCTGAAAGTCTCGGAGGTACCTGCGGTCTAAGGAAGAGAACCCTTGTCTGAGTCATAGGACCTGGACTCTTTGCCTTGGATGCAGACAGTGGAGAGCAGTGGTTATAGCATGACATTTGGAGATAGACAGGCCTGGGTGTGAACCCTGGCTCTAACACTAGTTTGTTTTGTGGGCTTCAGTAAGTCATTTAACCTCTCAAAGTCTCTGTTTCCTTTTTTTAATTTTTTAAATTTTTAGCCACTAGACCACCAGGGAGTCTCTGTTTCTTTATTTGTAAAATAAGGATACTAAAGTCGCCTTTGCACAGAGGTTTGGGGAAGATTTAATGAGATTACATATACAAAATGCCCAGGGTATTTCCAAGCACTTAGTAGGAGTTTAGTAAATGGTGGTTCCTTTCCCTTATTTAATATGGGAGAGTACATGCAAATACAGAAACCTATCAGGTTTCAGTGGGAGGAAAGCATCCCTTCCCATTCCCATTATTCTTGCTCTGGTTCAGAGCCTCATAACCTTTGGCTGGGACCATTGCAGTAGTCTCCCAGCATAACCATCCACACCCATCTTGTACCTGTCCTTGGATTACTTTTACTGTATTACTTTTAACCTTCCTTGGCTGCTCATAACCATAAAATTTAGGCCATATTTCTCAGCTTGAAGTTCAAGAGCCTTTGTTAATTGCTGCAACACACATTTATTCTCAACCATTACAGTGAAAAAGAACACAGGATGTGGAATCTGAAGACAGAACTCCAGTCTTGAAATTGTCCACTCTCTCCCTAGATAACTTAGAGTAAATCATCTAATGTCAGTTCTACATCTATAAATTAGAGATCATAATGCTGCCTCACGGCGGGTTATGATTTACGTCTATCTATCCTACTGAACTGTAAGCCTAGTGGAGTCAGTGGGCAGGGAGCAGTTGTAACCTGCTCATCCTTGTCTTCAGTATGTAGCATGGGTCCTGGCACACCGTACACGTTCAGTACATATTTGTTGGATAAATGAATGAACAGAGTTGTGAGGATTAGATGTGGCATGATCCAGGTAAAGCACCTTGCGCGGTTCCTAGACATGCCCATATAATAGCTGTTGCTATACAGGTAACTAGCGGAATGGCTTTAGACAAATTCTGTCCCTATCTGGACAGTCACTTATCTCTTCTAGCGGATAATCGAAGGCACTCCCGGCTCTTTTCTGTAACGCTAGGCCGTGCATGCAAAAGGAACTCAATAAATGCTTTCTCAATGGCTGAAGCTTCTTTCAAGGCTGTGCCTGGCGCTGGCACAGTCCAAACAAGAATCTGAGTTCCCTCCTCGAGGCCTGGTTCCCCACTGCCCTTCACCCTGCGGGGAAGATGGGCCTCCTCCTGGTCCCGCCTACATTTAGTTCCGAAGCGCAGCGGGTAGGTGGACCCGCAGGGCGTTCTCCCAGAGCTGGAGCAGAAGCCCGAAGGGCGGGGACGGAATGTGGGTTTAGGGAAAGCGGGCAAAAGAGGGGTGGACAGAGGAATGGGTTGTTTGAGGACCCCGGCCTGGGCTGAGAGGCAGCTGGCACCTTGGGAGAGCGACTCGGGGACCGGCGGTGAGGAGCTCCAAGGGGGCGGGCTGGATTAGCGGGCCAGGGTCAGCTAACGGCCGCGGGGCCGGGGCGGAGAGGTCGCCCCAGCGGAGGGCCGGGAATGTGGAGGTGTGGTTGGCCCAGGGGACACCGGGAGGAGTTGCGGGGGCGGGGGAGGACCTAGAGGGAGGGCCCAGGGACTGCAAAAGGACAGGGGGTCAGTGCGGAGGGGGCGCGGGGCGGCGGACAGGAAGGGGCGCGCGGGGAGCGCGGCAGCACCGGGGTGGGAATGTGGAGGTGTGGTTGGCCCAGGGGACACCGGGAGGAGTTGCGGGGGCGGGGGAGGACCTAGAGGGAGGGCCCGGGGACTGCAAAAGGACAGGGGGTCAGTGCGGAGGGGGCGCGGGGCGGCGGACAGGAAGGGGCGCGCGGGGAGCGCGGCAGCACCGGGGTGGGGTGCAGGGCGTGGGGAG